GGGGGGGGGTGTGTCCCCGCGTCGTCCTGATATGGTGTTGCACACCGTGTCGTAGAAAACTTCTCCGGAAAACGGGCGGTTTCGTCAAATCAGGGAATTCCGTCAGTAGATTGGGATACGATGATTCTCCGTCGATGGTCTTGATTGACGCTACGTCGGTGGTGGCGGCGAATCCCTTTGTCGACAGTCATGTAATCGTATTAAGGAGCCGTTTGTTTCGTGGGTCTACGAGTAACTCATAATGACTCAGGAAGACGAAACCGATGATGGGCGTTTGCACATCGGCAACGACAAAACGGCACTTGAAAGATCGACGTAGTGATAGGTTGAGGGACACGGTGATGGTGCCATCCTAACCCCAACCTAACCGTCGCAATCCCCGTTCCGTTGGCCGCAAACAATTCATAGTCGCTCTTGTTTGCGGATCCGCGTATCTTGTTACGAGGATACACGCATGTGTCGGCACCAGTGTCCACTAAAAATGAGATTTTCGTCCTCTTCGGTTCGTGTCATCTACTGCGGTCAGGATACGCCTGATGCGAACGGATAGTCGATTCCTCCACGCCGTGAGGATGAAATCGTCCAGCGTGGAGGGGTTAGCAAGTTTTCTCAGGTGGTGATAAAATTCAGATGACTTCCTATCCCCCATCTCTTCGCTTTCCACCAACTTCTTCAACCGTATCCGTTAGAATACGAATAAGTTCGTCTTTTAACCCCGCGTACCGTCCCGTGGTTGTAGGATCCGTCATGACGCCCTCAATTTGTTGTAGAAGTCGACCGTCGAGACATTTTCCAAGAGTCGCGAATCTTATCTTGTCCGACGAGATGTCCGCCGTGCGAAGTTGCGTCTCTAATAAGGCGAACCACACGGTGATGTTTGAAGGTAGCAGAGGAGACATAGTGATTGCTACACTAGCTGTGACTTTGCTATCTTCGTTAGCGGTTGCCATTTCTTCGTTCCAAATCACGTCGGATGTCACCAATTTGTGGCGGAATTGTAGAGGATTGATGAAACGGCAACGAGAACTTACTGTTGCAACCTGTCAAATATATTTGAAATGAATGAAATAAATTTTAAATAAATATAAATAATGTCCAAAGTCGCTGGTACAAACGCATTCTCAAAGACAGTGTATAATCGTTCGCAGATAACTCGTAGATATTAATCGATATTGTATAACTCGTATAACTCGTATAATTATCGCTTCGATGGCGATCGTGTCCGTTTATTTATACTGGTTGGGGGAGTGTCGAAAAATTCGAATCTGTCTTTGTTCGATAGTTGCACGTAGCGGCGGTAAAAACCCGGAGTCTATTTATTCTTATATTACGTGTGTCCTAACGATCTTGATACTCCGAGGCAAAACAACATGATTTGAATTGTCCTCTGACTCATGTGCCGCTGCAGATCAAACTTGGATGGAATAGCTTGTACTCGTGCATCTCCTTTTATGTTATTTTTAGATTCGGCGAAAGGACAAATGCCTGAGACTGTTCACTGTGACCAGCCGGATGGTTCTGGGTAGAACAAATAGTTAATCTTCGGTTGTTAACTAAAATGGTGCGATACGTATCTCAGAGTTTCTGTTGCAGACTGCTGATTCGTTTAGAGTTTAGAGTACAGGTTTCATAACGACTCCTTGTAACATTTAATGCAGTCGAAACGTTTGTTATGCCGAGCTTTGCCATAGACAATAAATGTTTAGTCTAAAAAGAAATCGTAGTGAGTGTTTCTCGATCGAAGAGTCAGTGAGTATAAAGACACAAGATGAAGTTAAGAAAAAATAAGGGAACTGAGACATATCAAAACGAGAAAGGATATTGATATTGATAATTAACTTTTCGGTAAAATTCGGTATGTTAAGATATATTTCTGCAGATGTAAAGTATATGTTCGTAGAAAAAATATCTAAAACTAAGAATGTTGCAATTAGTTTCATTAAAGATAGTAGAACGTATCTATGCTTAGAAATAATTGTGGCAAAGATCGCATTTAGCCACGTGAAATTTGGGGTCAAAGGGCAAGATTGAAGTAACGATTATAGTGGCGCGAATGTTGCCAAACAATAAGCTTTGAAATTCTCGCAACCCAATCGCTAATGTAAATGCAACACAGATTCAATTAGAGATAAATACAGTGCAGTTAGTTAGCGATTTGTGAATTATATGACGGAACAGATACGTAGCAGAGAAATTCTGTTTCAGACCCGGAGATATTGACACGAGCGCAACGTCTGAAAGTAATTATAATTAGTCTTGAATAGATATAGTTGCACTTTGATGAGCGAGAAATTTGTTTTTTTTTTGGATAACCGAAAATTTATTTGTAAGTTTTATTATGCAATTCATGTATATGCAATTTCCTATGCAATTGAAGACGATTGTTCGTTTTTAATGGATGTTGTAAGAACATTCAGCTATGGTACATATACTATAATAAAATGTAATTATCTAAAAGTTAACTATTAATTATTTCATTTAGAACCTGCAAAAAGTGTTAAATGTTAAACAATTAATCAAGTCTCTTGTTAAATTGCTGTTGATTACTGTGAGTAATTTTCTAAGACGTTAAATTAATATTTCTAAGGAGATATTTCGTTAAGTACTATTAGCCAGGGCTCTTTAGATATTTTTTGCTCCTTAATTCTTTTAATTCGTCGTTTTTTCCCAGCTCTTCCCAGGGAACTCTCCGTTTTGACCTTATTTTACTCTTTTTGATAATTTACCGCTTCAACGTCGACGCCGCGCCGTTCTTTCGTTCACAAAAGGCGATTACACTTTAGAGCTCCTGTCAAACTTCTTTTGTGTTCCCGAAAGGAGATCCCACGGAGCAGCACGCGGTAACACGTGAATTATTGTAAAGTACAGTGCTTATTCTTAACATTTTACCGGGACGATACATCGCGTAAATAAATCATTCCAACGAGATGGACGTGCAAATAAAGTCCATCGATAATTCTAGCTTAATATTATTCGAATAAAATTCGAATGAAAGTACCACTAATTTTTTGTTCCATCTGATTTATTTTTCAGATATTGGCAAATATTGTCGTTTTTAATTCAGACGCTACTTAAACTAAAATTTAACTTTCACTTTTTAATAATTTTTATCGAAAGGATGAGAATTTAAAGAAATCTTAATTTATGCTGTCTGGCTAATTCCTATAACGTCGTTAGCGCTCGACGAAATAAAGTAACAGAGAAATAATTACCGTCTTAATTTTTGTACTTTGTACTGTGAAAGTGTGAAGTGAAATCTCAATTTAAATAAATTACGCAAGCTACCAAGGACATTATTTATCGAAAACAACAGCATTTCCTCGAATTCAAACATAACCTATTCTGACTCGGGACAAAATCCGGAAAATCGCGCGGTTCTTTTCGATCTTTCAAAGATCTCTCTCTTCAGAGCTGTCTGAGATAAACGAGACACTTTAGAAGGTGATTCTCCAGAAATTGTCACGCTGTTAAGATTTGTCGTTTAACGGAGTTTATAATATGCCCGAGACGAAACATGCTAGTTTTTTAATTCAACTATATAATTTTGTTGCATCTGTTTGATTGTACTACTTTCGAAGAAAGAACAATTTTTAGAACTGTCGGAGTTTATATTTCCAACAGCGAAGAACGATATCGTTAATTTAAGAGTTTTCGAGGAACAAGAAGCGAATAAAAATTGGGATATTTCCGGGACATTATTCGAGAGTAATATTCAATACAATTTATAATAGTTACTCTTTCGTTTGCAAATTTTTTTGCTAGAATAAAAACATCTTTCGACTTATTCAATTTTGCTGGTGAAATGAACGAAAAGAAGTGTATTAAAAGCAACTTTCTTCATACTTTTCATTGTTTGCATACAATGGAAAGGAAAATATTTGAGTTTCGAAAGTTAATAATCCTCATTAAGAACTCACTAATCCAATAACACGAAGCAAAATAATTATTTTGGATATTTTAAAATTCAAGGATTTTTCACTTATCAAATTTTTAGTCTTCCTATTGTTAGGATTCGCATTTAATTTTTGTATTGCCTTTTTAAAACGAGTAAAACGTAATCGAGATGAAATATTTAATTACGCTCGTTCGAATAATATTCGAAAATTACTATCGGCATAAAATAACTTTGTATCTTGAAATTTCCCGTTGAAAAATCGCAGAAGCGTGGTCGTTTAATAAATGTTCCAAGGATCAGGCGATTATTTGCGTAGCTTCGATAATTACAGTTTCAAGGGACGCCAATATTAATATACCAAAGCTTGTTTTTCGGTGTGGCGTCAATCGAAGAGGCGTGTCGGACCGAAAATTAATCGACGCCGTTACGTACTAGCGGTAACTAATACACCGACAATTAATCACTTGACAGCTGCAATCCCTGGTATCGATACATCCGTGGCCTGACCTCATCCATAAAATACAATCCTCTGCATTGTGCTCTTTTCTCTCGATACAAAACTGAAAAAAATTGTAATCAGTAATTAACGTGTCCTTTGTTAGATTTCCTTTTGCTGATTCGACGAGAGGGACAATTAATGCATGATCTCCAATGAAATCGGATACAGGTCACACGATCAACATTTTTGATCTCGAAAGCCAGAGGAACGTGAGAAACTTCTCGGTATTACTTTTCCTTTTTCTTTGACATTTTTCTTTGACTTCTGCAGTACGTTCGAAAAACTTGGTCGTCGAAATGTAGACGCGCGGCTAGTAATACACTCGTTTTCGACAGAAAGGAAAATACGGAGGTGTAACTGAAAATTAAATCGATGAACCGAGGCAATATTTGCTCGTTTTATGAAAAAAAAAACTGTTTTAGAGGGTTGAGTTTCAAGAAGTTTGAATGTCGATTACGAAATAACGTGAAACTTTATATTTTACGAATAATTTGGTTTATTTGGCGAACAAAATGCAGAGAGTGCAGGGAATGATGGATTTTAATAGGTATAAAGTTTTAAAATCGCGAATGGACCTGTTTCATTCGACGTAATATTACTATAAAATTTTCTCCTTAGAGTTTTCGACTGGAAGCGTTAAACTATTTCAATGTTGAAATTACTTGCTTTTCCCCATAGTTGGATTCCGTATAATCCGATAGAGTGTAATTTTGTTCTGCGTGCTTAGGTTAGAACGTCGACCAACGAACCAGTAGAATTTTTTGAGTTTAGCCTTGAGTTGCTTCGATTGGTCTATGTTGTGTTGTTTCCATGTTAATCTCCTGTCGAGAGTCATGCCCAGGTATCTGACTGAATCCTTGTTAGGAATTGTTATATTGTTAATGGTCACCTGAGGGCAGGTTTGTTTTCGCAGCGTCAAACTGTTTCGCTGTTATATTAGAAACAAAACATGATTTTCTAGTTTTCCTCGATGCTTTCCTTAGCAGAAGTTTGGTTAACTAATTTTATGAAACAGTATTTTGAATTATCCCTTCGTGCAGCAAAATCCGCTTCAGTCGCACGAGCCATGGAACTTAACAAGGTCAATGTTGGTAAATTTTTTCATCCGTTTCATGACCTTGTAGACAAGCATAAATTTCGACCATATAAGATTTTTAACGTTGACGTGGCAGGTATCACGATAGTACAAGAAAAGTGATTTCAAATTATCGGTTTTAAAGGCAGAAGACAGGTTGGTATAATCAGTTAGCGACAAAAGAAGACAGCTTTCCATAGCTGTCATCTGCGTTACTGTCTCGGGAAATTATGTTCCTTTGTTATAAATTTTTCCAAAAGTTTGGAAAATAAAATAACTGGGCCAACGATTCTATCATTTAAAATTCCTATTCGAGTATTTGCTAGAAATTACGTTTGCGGATTTGATTCTTAACACGTCTGGATTTTCACTTGCCGAGAAATGTTCATTCTGCATATCCACCGTTCCATATTTACTGAATGAGCCCTTGTCCGTAAATAATATTTTCGCAGGAAAATTACAGTTCCACTAAATTTTGCGAGACATCCATCTGTAAAATTCTCTCTTCTCGGGAAATCTTCCGCACTCAATTCTTGAACTTTTCGAAAACTGTACGGGTGTAGCTTCTCTTTCTTCAATGCTATCCATATGGTTGTTGGTATCTTCTTCTGCAGCATAATCCATGTTTTAGCTAAACACGCTGCGATGTTCTATACCCAAAGTCTGAATCATCTTGTTGAATAGTCGGACTTCACAGATTTTAATGTACTTGCATCTAATAAATTTTGGTTGATTCTACGTAATATACTTGTTCTTTGTACCCTATTCTATTTGGAGATTTTTCACGTAACGCAAGTGCATATCGGTAAG